TTCATAAGGATTAGATTCATCGAGCAATAAGACAAAAGAGGGAATCTAATCCTTATGAAAGGAGACCAAAAAAGTGGCCTCTGATGGCGGACATATCCGGAAATGCGAATGCGCGAAATTTAAATTTTCCGACACTTATCAACAGTAGCTATATAATATTTTTCAGAATGTGTCTTAGACGAGAAAGTTTTAATTAATTATTAATGATAAGAGTCTAAAATGCGACACAATTGTTAAAAAACTTCAATATAAATAAGATTAAATGTGACATTTGGGACAAACATAACATAACCCAACTAAATTTGATGTCAAACAAGGAGAGAGACTCTCTTTCCTTGTTTAATGTGGCCTCTAAAGATCGCACTTCCTGTCTAACAATATGTTTGCCCCCACTACCTTTACATTCCCTCTATTGTCTTTTTGCTCGATGATTAGATTCCCTCTTTGTCTTATTGCTCGATGCTTCTGGCCATACGAATATCCAGGTAGAGGCCTAAAGTGCATATCCAAATGGAAATTTGCCAATGAGACGGATGGGACAGAGGAAAAAAAATTCGAGGCATTAGATCGCCTGCGGCAAACACTTCTAATGAATTACCAAGTGACTCCAAACATATACGATACCCATCCCCTAGATCTGTACAAGCTGGTATAGGGTTCCAGAATTCTGGAATGGGTACCATGAATGATTAGAAGATGTACGACCGCTACATAACACAGGACTTCAGGAAAAAAAAATACTAAAGGTAAAATTTTAAAATAATTTTATTTGAACATAGTAAAGTGATGTAGATTCGTTTAGTTCGAAACGTATATGTTATTTGATACTTTTTAACTTACTTTTAGCTTTATGAGTTACTTTAAGGAAATATTGAAACTCATGCAACCCTGTAACTAATAACTGTATAGTATATTGCCTACATTTGGTGCAGATAAACGATCTACGCTGTAAATTAGCTCTGGTTCTATACAAATTTAAAGTTATAATGAATATTTAACAAGATAAAAAGAATAAAATAAGTATAAAAATTAAATGTAATATTTTAAAATAATATATACATAATTATAAATAGGTTATTATAATAATTCATTTGGTTCTGCACCAAATTTCCTCTCCGGAAATCGTTTTCCAAAGTGAAAATCGAAACGTCAAATGTTTAGTTAAAAAAGTAATTTCAATCAATTATGTCTTAATTCAATATAAACACAATATTTAAAATAATTAATTTAGTAGAGTATTTAGCCATCTATTATGTCTGCCTTACATTCGATTTTTTCGAATCATTTCTCTATACAAGGGGTCGGCAATCTTTTGAGTCGGAAGAAGCAAAAATTACAATTTACAAAATTTTAAAGCTTTTAAAGAGCCACAATTTTTTTGTTAACTATAAATAGTACTCGCATAAATAAAGTTCTTTGATAAAAAAATTAATCTATTTATTCATATGTAGGTATATAGTGTTTTTCACATATATATTTTCATACATTTCATTTCTTGAAGTAAAAAATTAAAACAACTAAATATTCATCATGATACTATGACTAACAAGATAGGATCTTCCGTTAGCACAAAATAGGTCGTGTTCGCGCATGCCGTCATTGGAGAGTAGAATTTGAATTCTTGTTAAAGTTAAATGGATTTGTATGCATTCTGTGATGAAATTACTAGACGAAAATAAGTTAAGAGGTTTAATAATTACAATAATCGTACACATAAGGATATCTCCAAACTATTTATTAAAGATTATTTATTGATACATACAAAAAACTGACATTTCTAAACACAAACATGCACTTCAATAACAAATAGTTAAGCAAATAATATCAATGGGAGCGATGGTTTTGCATGGTTTTAGAAAGTTAAGAGAATTCCAAAAGGCTCAACGTAACTTCGTTACTATTTGTGTTGAGAGGATTTACTATGAATCCTAAAGTAGTTTTGTTGGTTTTGAATTGTTCAAATCTGCCAGCAAATTCATCTTTAATTTTTTTTGTAACTGTGCTGAAGTAATTCTTGTCAACAGTTGCACTGGTTTTATCGCGATATTTGCTTTAGAAATTGAAAATGAAGTAATTTACCGCTCTGAATATCTTCTGCAAATAGAATTAATTTTTCTTCAAAACAAACCAATTCTTCCACCATAACATAGGCTGGGTTTCCCTTTCCTGGCAGTTTTAGATTCAGCTCATTTAATTTCGCTGTGAATCACCATAAAGTAAAATTTTTGCAATCATTCGTCGTTCCCTAATTCAGGGTGATTGATGCTTTTTTCATTTAGAAATATATTTATTTCATTCAAGCACAAAGCAAAACGTTTCAACACCTTACCTTTGGAAAGCCATCGCACTTTATTATGAAGAAGATCGGAATACTGAGCCTTCATTTCGTTTATGAATTCTTTAAACTGACGATGGTAGAGTGCTTTTGACAAGATGCTATTAACAATCTTGATCACCAAATTCATGACCTCAACTATTTCGGCTGGAAATGTTTGGGCACAAAGCGATTCTTGGTGTATTATGCAGTGAAACGTAAGAATTTCGTGATTTAATTTCCTTTGAAGAATCGTTATTGCCCCCTTATTTTTTCTGTCATACTTCTGAATCCATCAGTTGCTATTAACACGATTTTATTTAAATCGATCTCATTGTCTTCAAGGCATTTTTGCACGGCATGCGCTATATCTTCTCCAGAAGTTCTTCTTTGGGACCTTGGGAAGACATATACCTGACAAAAAGGGCAACTTGTGCCGTGTTTTTTACTGTCTCTGACAGTGATGTCGCGTGTCACGGTGGAGGGGTGCGGTGGGAAGTGAGTATAAGTGACTGAGAGGATCGGTGTCTAATCATTGTTAATCTATTCAGAAAGCTTTTTAACACTTTTTTGTTTTGTAAAATAAATAATATTTGCGTGTGGAACTAAAGAGCCGCAGCTTTACGTCCAAAGAGCCGCATGTGGCTCGCGAGCCGCAGGTTGCCGACCCCTGCTCTATACCAAAGCTAACATTAATAGCTTCAATTCATAATATCTGTCACACTTTAATAAAGATTAAAATGACAAGTAAAAATATCTACACTATCGCAACTAATTGTAAATTGATCTAAGTGAAAATTGGTCCACGTTATTGTAAATTCATATCCATGATTCGAATAAATTAAGTATTTCATATCATACAAATATTTTCTCAAAAAGTGTATTTTATAAATATTTGCTAATAGTTTTTAAATATGGCAAAAGAAAATCAATATTACAGTTTGTATAAGAGAAATGACAAAAAAAATGTAATACAAAAAGTAATATGTCCTGTTCGAAATCTGAAAACATTAATGTCGAGAGAAGAAGAATCAAAATAATAAGTATAGTACTTATACATTACAAAATAAAAATGTATCTGAGTTTTGCTTGACAAATGAAAAAATTTATAACGAAAACTAATCCCTAATAAAAATATATACGTCCGCCTATGGTTCTACATACATCTTCAAATTTAACATCTAAAACACCGCATCCTTTAAAAGAATCTGAACATTATTCTACTTATATTTGTTTCATTCCCAAGTAGTATGTGATTTTCAGTGTTTTGTATTTATATCCTTGAACATATTTTAATAATTTAAAGATCCTAAGTCGGTTAAATCTAAAATGATGGCTTGATAAGTTTTTAATTCATCTAATATCTGCATCATTTACAAACGTTGAACTACGCGGCATGTGACCGTAGTAATTATGCATATTTATCGTGTTATACCAATCGGATCGGAATTCGCCGTAGTAAAGCGAATAAATATCTCTCAATATTGAATTGTATTCAGAAATCAGAGGGCAAAAGAGAGGTGTATAAGGGTGTACGATAGCGACGAAGCGGCAAAGCATTCATTCTATGGGAGCGTGCGGTAGTTGGCGGGAAGGACGAATCAAGTAGGCTTAGGTCCAGTGTTGCCAACGCAAAACTAGAAATTATCCGAATGTTGGGAGCAAAATATCCGAAATTATCCGAATGTTAGAAACCAAATATCCGAAATTATCCGAATTCATAAAAATCGAAAAAGAAGACTAATTAAATGGAATAATTGACATTGACAGTTGACAGTGACACATTGACAGATGACAATTAATATGACAAATGATGGCAAAAAACAAGTTTAGTTTGATAGAAATATAATTTATTTAAATAAAAAACAACAAATAATACATAAATACAGCAAATTAACAAATTATTAACTCTTTAAACCTATATTAAAAATACTTATTGTTTACATACATAATCGGCAAAAGTATAGAGAAAGTGCCACAGGGGAATTACATGACTACTTCGACCTTTTAGACTTGGATTGAAATAATTTTTGTTTTGTCAATTTCAAAGATCCCTGGATTTTTGTACAGTAAAACTTGTACAGTAAAACAGTCAACCAAAACTATACTATTTATCAACAGAGGGCGCCTGAAATAATTCATAGGTTCCATCATCTTGGATTATATTAAGAATAGAATTTGGAGTTCTAAGTACATTCGCAATTTAGCTATTTAAGCTTATAAAAATTTAAATTATATTTAAAAATAAAAAGTCGATAGACCCATGAATTATCCGAAATTATCCAAAAAATTGTTCAAATCCGAAAATTATCCGATGGTGCACGAAATTATCCGAAAATCGGATAATTATCCGGACATTGGCAACACAGCTTAGGTCTCAACTCAACTCAACGGGCGGGGCCACGCCGCCAGCTGGCAGACGATGAGCGACTCTCACCAACCGATTTGTACGCGACGTAAATAGATCCTTGATGTTTATGCTAATATTTCACAAAATACTAAATATTTTAACAAATTTTAAAAGGTTATATCTTAGTTTGAGGTATTTTCAGGGAATGGCGGCAATTAGTATGAGAATAGTTGTATTTTAACAATCTCGGTTTTTGATGCTACGGCGTATGAATATTACATTGGCGTCAACCTGGCCTCAGCTGTTTCCCGCCAAACGCCGCTACCAGAAAACTGCTGTGAGGCGTAGCGTATGTTGGTTGTCCCGCGCTGCAACCTACTATCAGTGAATAATTGTGATTAACAAATTTACATTTAATTGTCAGTGATTGAAGACTCGTTAGTTAGTGCAAAATATGTCTGTTTACGTCATGAAAGAAGATATAGTGTACGACGAAGGCAATAGTGATCAGAAGGACGTTTTGGGAAATATATCCAGGTAAAAAATACACATGATTTTACCGCGCGTTAGTTCTCCTACACATGATTTTGACGTTTATGTTGACTTTCGGTACGTCATTCCTATCTGCATTATTAGTTGTAGTGTGTTGTTAGTTTACATCGTTTTTGGTTTATTTTGGAACGATGTAAACCTATTAATCGGTATTGGCTTAACGAACGCTACTATTAATTCTCGCCATGTTTCCAAGTTTTTATTCGTGAACAGTGAACTCGATTGACGAGCACCCCTGCACCAAAATTTAGCAGCTGACGATAGAATCATTATTATCAAATATTTTAAAATCACGAGTTGAAATTTATATTAAAAATAGTGATGGAACATTTCGAGCTGTACCTATACAAATATTTTAGAATTTCTGATTTGGAGTCTGATTTCAAAAAAACTTTATTTATTTTAAAGCTTGTTTGGAGTGGTAGCTAATATACTTGTGTATATACAAGCAGTTCGCCTTATTTCTTCAGAAATAAGTAAATAGTAATAAATTATTTTAACAATTTATTTAAGTATTTCTTTTATATCAAACTTCAATCTATTTAATCTTTTATTTAGTATTTCAAATGTCTAGCTCTTATTCTAAGCACTATATATGATGACAATTCCTTGTTCTTATTTTCTTAAAAAATGTTAGTAACTAAACAAGTATAGAACGAAGATAATTGTTTATTCAACATAATATTAAAACTAAACGCACATTGATATTATAAATTGAAGAAACTGAGGCTTGATGGTTTAATTTTTTTGCTTTTTGTTCTATTTTGACCCTTAAAATACTCAATCTTTGGCGATTGCTGGAAAAACTTGTTTTTTTTTGTATAACGCCGTATATAGAATATAAGAACTCTAAACTTGGAAATTTGATGTGAATAAAATATGTAGCAGTGGGTCGCAATAAGAAAACATTATCGGGGGTGTTTTTACATACTAATATAAACGTCAATTAATGTGTGTTGCGATTTATTTTCTAATCATGTTATAACTTAACATATTTCATCCTATATACGTTTTATTTATGTATATCAATTCGATTTTCATTTAATGAATATAATAAACCTATCGTGTTACTACAAAAATGTTGCATCAGATAATGAATATAATGAAAGGAAACCTCTAGAATGGAACTGACCTAGCGCAAATTTGTTTTGTGATGGAAAGGCGGGTACTACTATTCATCTGAATGTCAAGGCAGCAATATTTAAAAATTACAAGTGTCTTACGAAAAATTATTTTGATTTATTTACTGCAAAATAAAAAGTGGAATCGTCTATTTAACGTCAGTATACTTTTATTTGAATTATTTAATATAATAATATGTCTTCATTTAGTTGTTTATGTATGAGTCAAAATTGCTCTAATGACTCCTTAACATTTCTTATTCTGAACTTTTCATAAGCAGTTCTGTCATTTGCAAAAATTGAATATAATACATAATATAGAAAAAGTCATCTGTTAGTGGAATTCTGCTTCTCTTTATCAGTTTGTCTTTTCTTATTGGGTTTTCTCAGAATTTTAGTAGATACCTATGTGTACTTTTGTATACTTTTTCATAATGTTTTTACTCTTTTTAATAATATAAATATTTTCGTATCCATGTAATATAGGCTTTCTTTATGTCGTCACAAATTTTATTAGGGATAGGGTGGAAACTTTTTATGTAGTGTGTTGTTTTGTTTCAAACCCTCACATGAACAGCTGACATGGATGGACACCCCAAAAACTATTCAACCATGTATCATTTATTGGATGTTGGTATAGGTGGATTGTATAAGCGTGGTTGGGTGTTATTTATACCTATTTTCTTTGGCGATGACACGTGGGCGAAACAGAATGCACTGAACTCGATCCGATATACAGAATACAGAATCGTCTTACGAATTGTGTAATAAATATTTAAAAAAATAATCAACCATATATTACATACAGTTAAATTATCTCGATGGGTATGACAATTTGAATTGTTTAGAATAATATGTATCTTTTTTGTTTCTTGTATACCTCCACTGTTTATTTAGATCTCGGCAGGTTTCTAATAAACGTTGAGTTGTTGCCTCTCTTGGCATCACTTACTAGAAAAAATTGCTGGTGTCTTGAAACTTGATACATTGGTTTCTCTTGTTGCAAGTAAGAACCCTATATTTGTGGCGAATACATAAAAAGTTACCAAAGTTACAGATAATTCAAAATAATAGTGTTAAAGAATTCTCGACCTTAGATACCCCCTTTTATCGTTTTATAATTGTATGGAAACTTCAAACTCAATGGGTGTCAGTTGGTTGAGTCATGAAAACCAATTGTGTAACGTCAATGCGTTGTTCAAATTTTAAGTGGTCATAGCAAATTTGTAATTGTAGTAATTTAAAATTTTCCACCATTGAAAGTGTTGGTAGTTGTATATTATAAAAAATACTACGATATCTAGTGAACTCATTTTTATATTCTCTGAATCCCTTCCTCCATGTCTAGATCTAGACTAAACATTCTCTAGCTACCTCGATATTTCTAGGTGAAATAAAACTATTTCGTAAATCGAAAAGTTAAACTTAGCGACAGGTGACACAGGTATGCAGTAAAAAAATGTTACTTAATGTATAATTATTTTGTCATTAGTGCAGTGATCGAGGGTTAACATCAATGGCAATAATTAGAGGAAATTAATGATAAATGACATGATCACGGTTACATTTGAACGAAATTAATGTTGTGCCTTGGACAGTTGTTAATTGCGTTAGGACAGGTTAATGTTTTAAGGAAGTGTTTTGCGGCGTACTTCTACATAAACATTAACTTTTTCTGTAAGGCAGAGAACTGATAGATTGGTGCTATTGTTTGCAAATCTCACCGCGGTTTCATAATGGTTTGTTTTAACTCGAAATACATATTAGTTTTCTCTTCGGGTTCCATCTTGTATAGAAGGTTGGAAACCATTATGGCTATAATCTCATTACATTTTATCTTATTATGTGTGAATCACAAAAGGTTATCACTTAATGTATAAGAGGGTTCTTTATGGTAAACCAGTGTGCCTCGTGTCAACTGATAGAGGTACACCAGGTGGTTTATCAATTTAAACCTGTCATATGTTCAGTTACAAAAACAGGTACATTTATCTCTGTATTGCTTGCTTCATGCAACTTTGATGTCTGATTAAAAAAATGAAAACAGGTTATACAAGTTACAAGGAGTAACGTCAGTGCACAATGCAGTATTTGGTATTTGGACTTCTAGTTTCTTTTGGTTATTGGGTTAAATTAGATGAACTTCCATTATTTTTTTGGCAGGCTTTCGTTCGTGTTTCCAGTATATTGTTTTTTATGATTTACTACTGACACTTTACTCCGCTTTATTGAAAAGATTGTTGCTAGATTCCCTTAATTTTTGGCTGTTCTTAATTGGTGGTTTTAATAGAATTGTTAGTATTACATACATTCCCATTTTTTTATTTTTTCCTTAATGGTGTATCTACATACTGTTTTTACATGGAAATTATATATGAAAAAAATTATTATTTACGTAGACTTTAACGCCAAGGCTTTCGAAAGCGGACAATGTTATTGTTTTGACAAATCCTTAATATAAACTTCCCGAATCTCCTGATTAAACTAGTTCAAAGTTTGTGTAAACACTGTGAGGCATTTCAGTAGGGTTTTAAGGTATCAAACTGCCTCTTCGTCAATGATACATTGTTGAAATGTAAGAAATATCATACTATTTACTATTATAACAATTCGCAGATTGAAAATGTGGACAACTTTACATACCTTGGAAGTGTCAACAAAAAGCGAAGGCTCGGAAGACGATATTTATATGAGAATACGAAAGGTCAGCAAGCATTCAGCATGTTGAGCCCCGGTTGGAGGTGTGGCCAGTATATCACAAAGACAAAAATCCTAATATTCCGGTCGAATATTAAGTCTGTTCTACTCTGCAGATGTGAAACCTGGAAAGTGACAAAAAACCCGTATAAGCAAACTGCAGGTCTTTGTCAACAAATGCCTACGAAGAATTGTTCATATTTTTTGGCCTAATACCATCTGAAATTAAGATCTGCTACTCCTGACGGAACAGAAGGGGACAGAAAATGAAATAAAGTCCAGAAAGTGAGGCTGAATCGACCACACACTTCGTAAATATAGCTCTTATATTTCAGAGAGTGCTGCCCTAGATTGATATCACCAAGACAAAAGAAAAAGAAGACGCCCAGCGCAAACTTCGAGAAGATCAATATGGACGAGATGAGAGGTCAAGAAAAGTCTTGGAAGGAGGTGAATGTCTTAGCGCAAAATAGGCGCGTTTTCACCAAAGCTCTATGGACTACTTATGAGTTCAAGAACCTTAAATGTTTTCGTGGTTTGTACAATTAAACCTAAAGCTAAGACTATTCTTACAAAAATTAATTTCAAACTCACCTAGGTTCTGGGTTAAACCACGTCGATTTTCACTACATCGAGATCCCTACATTCTCTTTGATGTCTTCTTCAGGGTTTACGAGGTCTCAGTCTCCTGAGCCCCTGATCTCTTCACTACTCACTACTGCACTATAATGCACCAGTAGTGCAATGAGTAGTGAACAGTGTAGTCGCAGTGAAAAGTTCTGTCAGTTTGATGTTAATTAACCAACTCAAAAATACGATAAAAGTAATAGAATGAAAGCTCATAACATTGCTGAATAGGTATAACTTAGGTTTCCAGTTTTATATATTTAATAGCTCATTCAATAACAATGGGAGCTGAGAACAAGAAATTCGACTAAGAATACAGAGATAGAAGAGAACTCTTATGTTGAATGTCATCAAAATGTGGAACACAACAAAAACACTGATGAGTCTTAGTACAAACACTTATTTTCTTAATATCTTCATAGTTATACGCCGGAATTCTTGAGATGCGATGTTGCTAAATAATCTTTCGAATTCGTTGGACATCTTCTTCATGTACCATGTCCTTTTACAACGTTGGTTACCATCAAGATATCTTAATTT